GCGTGGAAGGGGAGAGACCCGCAGAGAAACGATCTTGAAGGAACTCCAGAACTGAAGCCACCGGGCAGTTAACTGGGTCCAACTCATGTTCTCTACACCAAGTGAAAACACATTTCACTTGAGGCCATATAATCTCCTAGTAGATGGAGCCCTAGAGCTAAGTATGGTTTCAACTACTCCAGCTGATAGACCAGCATTTAGGTACTGAACCCCCTCAGAGGCCAGACCCACAGCTTCCACAGCTCTGGGTGAGGGTGGAAGATTGTGCCCTCCGCCTGGGACAACAGATCCCTCCTCAGAGGAATCTGCCATGTCGGAGCTATCAGGAGTGATATTATGTCTGAAAACCATACTCGGGTCAGCCACCTCGGGGCAACCAGAAGTAGACTGATGCCCTCTTGACGGACCCTCTCCAGGACTCCCGGGAGCAGAGCGATCGGGGGAAGTGCGTACAGGCGAAAGCCTCGGCCAGGCCTGTACCATGGCATCCAACCCCAGTGGGGCTGGATGTGTGAGGGAGAACCAAAGTGGACAGTGGGACGTCTCTCGAGACGCAAACAGATCCACTTCCAATGGTCCAAACCTCTCCCATACTGACTTCACCACATCTGGATGAAGTCTAAATTCCCCGGGCCTCAGCCCCTGCCTCGACAGGATGTCTGCTCCCTGATTCTGAACCCCCGGAATATACATTGCTCTGATAGAGAGTATTTCCCCCTGGGACCAAAGAATAATCTGATGCGCCAGTCTGCACAGAGGGCGCGATCTGAGTCCCCCTTGTCGGTTCAGATAAGCTACCACAGACGTATTGTCTGATCGTACTAAGACATGGTAACCATTGATGTCTGGGAGGAAGCTCCTCAAAGCCCTGAACACAGCCATCATCTCTAGACAGTTTATGTGCCAAGAATGATGATGTCCTGCCACAGACCCCTGGCAAAGCGGCCGTCCATGACCGCGCCCCAACCAGTGAGGGAGGCGACTGTCGAAACGGTCTTCCGGCGACATGACGCTCCCAGCACTGGCCTGTGGGATAGGAACCAAGGTTTCTTCCAAATTACCAGAGAACGAAGGCATCTGCGCTTAACTCTGACTATACGGAACAGATTCCCCTTGAGGGAAAAAACCCTTGGTTCTCAGCCACCACTGAAGGGGGCCTCATGTGTAGAAGGCCCAAATGTATAATGTTGGATGCCGCTATCGGCGGGCAATACACATCGTTTCCGGGCCCCGCTGCAAGAACAACATCGGTTGCCCTGCAACTGAGTGGACAGCCCCAACATTTAGATCTACCATGCCAAACCAGTCCTCGGATCTGATTTGGTTTCCGATAATGGAAATTGTAAGCATTTTGAACCTGGATCTCCTCAAAGAACAAGTCAATAGCCTTAGATCTAAAATTGGCCTCAGTCCAACATCCTCCTTTGGAACTAAAAAGTACCGGCTGTAACACCTGGACTTTCTATCTGGTAGGGGAACACTCTCTATGGCCCCTTAACTCCAGTAGAGTCTGTACCTCTCGTTCCATAACCCGAGCCTGTTCTGGAACCCCTGCGGTCGGTACGACCCCAACAAAGCTGGGAGGTCGGTAACCGAACTGCAGTCCGTACCCATATTTAAAAATATTCAGGACCCATATAGATAATTGGAAGGCGTTGCCATTCTACAAAATCTACTAAGGGAACCAGCCCCTTGGGACCGGCCTCGGGTGTTTCTCGAGCACTATTCTCGACTTCCTGAAGCAGATGACCGGCAGGAAAAAGTCTAGAAAAATTTTGTGACCATAGTCGATGCCCGGTTGCAAGCTCTTGGGGTGAACGCCACAGTGTGCGTTCGCTGGAAATCGATGTAGCCCGAAACGTTCAAAAACGGCGGGACAACATATATAGTTTTATATATATATATATATATATATTTATTTATTTATATATATATATATATATATATATATATATATATATTTATTTATTTTATTTATTTATTCATAAACCTGTCGACGATTGAAGTTACAGCGTCGGAGAACAGGCCAGAAGGTGATAGCGGAGCGTTCAGCAGAAAATATTTGTCTTCCCTTTTTTATACCAGACAAATTAAGCCACTGATGTCTCTCAACCATCATAACTGCTACAATAAGCTATGGTACGTTAAGTGCCATTATACGCCTGTAAAATCGTCTTAGAGTACAGGAACGTACCAGCCTGACCAACCGCCATCGCCCATCTCACACCCACCTCTTCAAATAATCATTTAGTGAATGTGATCAGATTTGAAAAAGAGTGGGGTTTTTCCCAGGAGAGTTCCTATCTCTTTATTTGTAAGATTGGGGAAAAACAGTTAGCCCGGCGCTGAGGTTGTGACCTGTGCTGCAGGAAACGCTCATCAAGCTTGCTTTCACTTGCGTTCCTTGCTCATCATGTGTCCAGCTAATGTTAAGTCTGGCCACAGCACGAGTCACAACCTCTACCAGCTACTCATAGCTTTGGCCGTGAACTGGCGCGCCCAAATCACGGTCATCCGCATCAATACTGAGCACATCCACTTCCTCGGAAGCAGAGAGCTCAAGCATTGGGACTTGATCGTGGGCAGGAGAAGCCGCGATGCGGGCTCCTGTACCACTCTCAGGGGCTACGGGATCCTCAGACGAAGAATGAGAAAGTGCCGCAGCAGTCTCATTCTCATCTGTAAGATCCCGCTGCGAACCCCGCGATCTCAATCGCCGCGCCGCCTCAACGGACGCGGGACCAGAACCATGGGGAACGCGAGCCTGACCGTGCTCATCAAAGCACGCCAGCGGGGAGCGCAGCACTCTAATAGGAAGTGCTTCACAGTCTGCACAAACAGCTCCCTCAAGAGCTGCTTGTGCATGCTGCGCTCCCAAACAATTCACACACAAAGCATGTGTGTCCCCACCCGTAATAAAACGAGGGCAAGGATGCACACATCTTTTAAATTGTTCGCTGGCCATTCTGATCAACTGATTGACAAACAACACCAAATAAGACAGACAGTTTCAACACAGAGCGCTTGCTGAAGAGCGAAAGCTAGTGTGTGTTGTGACAGCGTCACTTTTATACTTCCGGGTATGCCGTCACATGTTACGTCACGACGCAACACCAATCAGGATTGGATTAGTTTCATTCATACTTCAGAGGCGCACGCTTAGGGAGCGTCCCCAAAGTGTCGATACTCGACGCAGTGTAGAGTTCCCTCGAAAGGGAACTCACACTGCGTCTGACGCTATGGAGAACGCCTCCGTGTGAATCTGTGTCTGAAACACTTATCTAATCACGGCAATCCTATTGGCCGGCGACAGCCTATGACATCACTACTAGTGCGACCTGGAAGTATATAAGGGGAGCCTGGAGAACATCAACTTTTTCGTCTTCAGGGACTGTTTTGTCTGTAAACACTGCGGCCCAAATCTGCACTTCCTCACCCCAAGCGCTTCTTGCATCAGCCCTGAGGCTGGACCCATGATGAGTTGTCCTTCAACTTGGATCCCGTCTGTGGGTCTGGCAGTAAGTGCGCTCTTTCGAGCTCTTATGGCTATAGGCCTCCATGTGTGAATGTCGTTTAGGCCATCGCTCTATGGGCAGCAGGTTGAGCTCTGTTGGTCTCCTCCCTTTACGAGAGAAAAGGTTGAGCAGTAGACCACTGTTCCCTGTTAAAAAGTATCATGGGGGTGTTAGGTAGGGTTTTTATAGGATGGTGAAATTAGGGCCCTGAAGTTCCTATATATAGGTAGGCTATGCATACCCTTCCCAGAGGCCTCCTCTTATGTTAGAGTCGGCAGGCATATGTAGTGGGTAGTGCCAATCTGTACTAGTGAACAGGTTGGCTTTATTATATGGAAAATTCTCTAGTGAGGCCATCGTTCATCTGAGCATCAAATAGACATTCTGTTTGTGAGATGGCTTCCTCCCTAGCGGGAGTTATTCTACTGAGGCCACCGCTCTGTCAAGCTCCAGATAGGACTACAGAGTCAAGCATTTGGCCCTCGTTGGGCCACCTTGTTCGCCACCTTATCAGCAGCAGCAGGTCTCCTCTCACTTTGAGATTCGTTTTGAGATTATAGCTCTGAACCTCGGTCATATAAAATTTGTGTGCCTCGATATCTGGCTTAGGCTTGGAAAACTAGAAAAATGGTGGCGGTCTGCTGAGCATTCTCACCTTGAGCCTCTCAGTATCTGAGAGGTTCCTTCGAGTTAGAGCCCATCAGGAGATTTTATTCCTGTAAATCAATTTTTTTCTAGTACTGGCCTCCTCTTACTACAAGAGTCATCTAGCCAAAGCCCGCCTTTTGCACTAAGTGTAAAAATGCTAATGGTGTTACAGGGTAGATAGCAGCATAGGTAGCAGGCTATCTTCAAAAAAGCTTCCCATGCAGATATCTCATGGGCGTTGTCAGGCCTTTCTCTCTAGAAAGTAAAAAGCAGTAAGCTCAGGCCTCCGCCCTTTAGAGTCGAGTATAGTAGCTTGTTTTTCCAGCTAGGCCTTAAAACTGAAAAAGGATTTTTTCCGCTGAGCCCTTTGAATAAAATAATTCAAGTCATAAGGTTGAATGTCGTTGGCCACTTACTGTGGCCTCCATTTCCTTGGGTTTAGCAGAGAATCTAAAAACAGAGTCTTGTAAAAAAATACAAGATAATAGGCCTCGGCCTTGATACATTTCTCAGGGTCATACTGATAGTACTCCCCCTGTTAGGGTCATTATTTATTTTAGAGTACTTTGCTAACCATAGCTCAATCATGTCAATGTGGTAGTTGTGTGTGCTGTCAATGGGGACAGAAATATCTCACATTCCATTTAAAATATCTTCATTTGTGTTTCGAAGATGAACAAAAGTTAAGGGTTTGGAACTACATGAGGCAGAATAATGTAATGATGGTAAATGATGACAGATTTTTCACTTTTGGGCAAACTAACCCTTTAATGCTTTTAATTGAAAATACATGTTACATATTCTTTTAATTTGTTCTGTTTTGATTTTGCTGCAAAGGCGTGGATTCATGCTGGCATCCTCCTGAAGCATAAGTACAGTCTGCTAGTAGGATCTGCCTCCATCTCTGATGTTGTTACACAGGTAACAATACCACCCTGTTCCACAAACGAAAAAAGTGTTGTAGTGACCTTTGAAATGTCATATTTAGGCCTGATATTCAAAAGTTAGACACTTTAACTTTTCTAATAGCAAAGAGGCAGAGAAAAGCAGGGAGCAGGAGAAGTTCTGGTAAAAACAGGCAGTTTATTAAACAAATCGTAGTTGTGTCTTTCTCAACGTTGGCCTTCTGACTAGCACAAACAAAGCGTTATTATAACAAGCAAAGGAAAATGACTACTTCAACATTGTCTTTTGTCTGACTTTAAAGAGAGACAGTATTACCAAAACAATGTGAAATGACAAGTGTAATCATGTTAAAAAGTTTCAGGTCGGTAAGATATTTTGCTCACAGTAATATTGTGAGATATTATTACAATATAAATAACCGTTTTCTATTTTAATATATTTTAAAATGTAATTTATTCCTGTGATAGCAAAGCTGAAATTTCAGCATCATTACCCCAGTCTTCAGTGTCACATGATCCTTCAGAAATCATTCTAATATGCTGATTTAATGCTTAAGAAACATTTCTCATTATTATTAATGCTGTGGTGCTTTATATTTTTGTAGAAACCTTGATACATTTTTTCTTCATGATTCTTTAATGAATAGAAATTTCAAAAGAACAGCATTTATTTGAAATAAAAAAAACAGTATACATTATAAATATATAAAGAATTATAAACGTCTTTACTGTCACTTTTGGTCAATTTAGTGCATTGCCTTACTGAATAGAAATATTAGTTTCTTTCAAAAAATAAAAATGTAAAGACCAAGCTTTTGAACGGTAGTGTGTGTAAGTAAAACATTATTTAACATAATTTAAAAAAATTGTCATAAAAAAAATTCATACATCATAAAGTACAATAAGTACAACACAAAAATGCATAAACATTTTAATGTAGTATAGCATGATTAAAAATATTATAATAATGTATTATACATGCTATACTACATTAAAATGTTTATGCATTTTCGTGTTGAACATATTGTACTTGATGTAATAATAATAATAATTTTATAAAAATATCAGTTTAAATATTATTAAAATTATATGATTTGATTAAATTAATATTCAATATTTTATTATTTCATCTATATATTCAAAAAAATGTCACATCGTGTGTATGCAAATCTTGTAATTTGTTTTTATTTAAGAGAGATGTTCTAGCTGCTGAAGAGCTATTTTGAGATATTGCATTGCAGATTTGCATAAGCAAGCTAGCTACAATTAAATATTGAATGTATAAATAATTTTGCAGGTTTGTCATTTGTTTAAACATGTACTTAAACTTGCCTAATATTTAATTGATTCTTACTTTCCTATTCGCCTGCAGATAATATTTGTGGCGATCCTTCTCCAGAGTAACCTGGAATGCTTAGAGCCTCTTCTTATTCCCATTCTCTCTCTGTACATGGGAGCTCTGGTGCGATTCACTATCGTAGGACTGGGCTACTATTGTAGCGTCCACGACAACATCCCTGAATCAAACAGTCTCGATCAGGGGGTACGTTTATCAAAGCAGATTTTTGCAGAAAAATTGGAAAATTGCTTCCTATATTTAGTACTATACTTATGGTCACTTTCAGGGCGATGTCACCATAAGGAAGATGCTAAGTTTCTGGTGGCCGCTTGCACTCATTTTAGCCACTCAGCGCATCAGCCGACCCATCGTCAATCTGTTTGTCTCTCGGGACCTCAAGGGCAGCGCTGCATCAACTGAAGTGAGTACTGATGGGTGCTAGTATGTACTGCAGCAAACAGTAAAACACAGCAATCTATAATTGAATTGTGTGCATTTGCTAGGCGGTCGCAGTCCTCACAGCTACATATCCGGTGGGTCACGTGCCCTACGGTTGGTTAACAGAACTACGTGCCGTCTATCCAGCTTTTGATAAGGTCAGTGGTGGTTTTTACTATCAATTGCATAGCAAGCACCCTGAATGTCACAGCAAGGTTGTTTTTTTACAGGAAAAAAAAAAACATTTCTTCAGAAAATATACAAATGTAGTTCTTAAATAACTTGTATAATTGTCTTTCATTGTTTGGTATGAGTTTTTATAAAAGACCTTTGAAACTTTTATTTGTCTGGTTTGTCCTGAGGCTTTGGAAAGTTTTTTTTTAGTCAACACCCGATGACTAGAGTTCACCATAAAATGCCTCATGCTGAAGACCTGTAATTACATACCATTGAAAGACCTGCAACAGTCAGACATGCCTGATGTGGTGTCTGAATCAACTTATTTAGGTTTTGCCCCTTTCTAATTAAAGACATAACCAGTATCAGCTCTCTGTGGCTTTTAGAGCCAACAGGTTTGTTGTGTTGGCGAGTTTGAATGGGTTTAGGTTGGGGAGAACTTGTTTTGTAACTTTTAAATGCTGTTTTTTCCATCACTAGCACTTAATGTTCTTCTGGTAGGCGAGAAAGACAACAACTTTTCTTTTTTATTGGTTGATGCACATTATTGTGTTTTGGGTGTAAAAACATCTTTTTGCTTTTAGATGGTTTGATAGATGATGTCAAATTAGAATGTTTTCAAGCATGGATTCAAAATATTACATTGCGTTGTCGTTCTTTGTTAAATCTTTCCAAAACGAATTTTTCCATGCATAGTGGTTTAGCTTTATAATTGAACCTGTATCATTTTGAGGATAATAAACATTTATCTGTACTCCTTTTTTTTTTTTTTTTACAGAATAACCCTACCAATAAGTTTGCCAGTGGTCTGACAGTCACCACATCACACATCAAGAGGTTCACTCTCTGCTGTTTTATTCTCTCCTTAATGGTAAGCTCTCTTTATCAAACATCTCAGTGTGGGTGGGGTCACTATTGTTTTTTTAAAGAAACTAATACTTTTATTCAGCAAGGATGCATTAAATTGATCAAAAGTGTGGTCAGAATGAATGGCACCCTTGGTAAATATGATCAAAATGGCAGTAAAAAAATAAATCTTCATTGTTTATCCTTTTGATCTTTTCATTCAAAAAAATTGCAAAAATCTAACCTTTCATTGAAGTAAAAGAATTGAAAGTGGGGGGTAAATCACATTATGAAATAAATGCTTTTCTCCAAAACACACTGGCCATAATTATTGGCTCCCTGTTATTAAATATTTTTGGCAACCTACTTTTTGCCAAGATAACAGCTCTGAGTCTTCTCCTATAATGCCTGATGAGTTTGGAGAACACCTGACAAGAGATCAGAGACCATTCCTGCATACAGAATCTCTCCAGATCCTTCAGATTCACAAGTTCATGTTAGTGCTTCTTCTCTTCAGTTCAGCCCACTCGTATAGGGTTCGGGTCAGGGGACTGGGACGGTCATGGCAAAAGCTTCATTTTGTGCTCAGTGACCCATTTTTGTGTTTTTTTTATGTTTGTTTTGGATCGTTGTCCTGATGGAAGATCCAACCACAGCCCGTTATAAGATTTCTAGCAGAAGCGGTCAGGTTTAGATTTTTTTATCTGTTGGTATTTGCTAGAATCCATAATACCATGGATCTGAACAAGATGTCCAGGACCTCCAGCAATAAAATAGGCCCACAACATATAATATCCAGCAGTATATTTAACCGTAGACATGGGGTACTTTATATCCCTGTTTGCACCTAACACATCTGGTGGGTTTGCTGCCAAAAAGCCCTTTTTTTGTTTCATCTGACCATAGAATCCTTTTGAAGTTCCAGTCGTGTCTGACAACTGAATATGCTGGAGTTTTTTTTTTTTGGAGGAGCGAGGAGGATTTTTCTTGAAACACTCCCAAACAACATGTGGTGATGTAGGGGTTGTTTGATATATTTTTTTAGGCTTTCTGACCCCCAAGACTCAAGTAATCTCTGCATTTCTCCATCTGTGATCCTTGGAGAATCTTTGGCCACTCAAACTCTCATCCTCACCGTGCATTAAGACAATATAGATGCATGTCCTCTTCCTGGCAGATTCGTAACATCTGAAGTTGATTGGAACTTCTTAATTATTGCCCTAATGGTCAAAATGGGGATTTTCAATTCTTTAGCTATTTTCTTACAACCACTTTCTATTTTGTGATGCTCAACAATCTTTTGATGCACATCAGAACGATATTCTTTGGTTTTACTCATTGTGATGGATGGGAATTTGGATTTTTGGCCATTTTTGATCATATTTACCAGGGGTTCCATTCATTCTGACCACAACTGTATAATGTTACAAACTATTTCTATTTTAAATAAATGCTACACTTTTGAACTTTCAACTGTTTATATCTTTGATATTTATAAGAAATGTTTCTTGAGCATGAGCATCAGATCAGCATTTTAGATGAGTTCTGAAGGGTCATGTAATACTGAAAAATGTCTTTTAATTTACTATTTTTTGATATAATTTTTATTTATTATATAACATTTAAGGAAACTTCACAAGTTTGTAGCAGTAGCTGTTTATAATAAATGAGCATCTTACTCTTACCTGACACTGATATTAAAATTCGATTTGGCTCTATTTATTAATTTTAGAATTTATTAATTAATTTTTTCGGATGCCATTCATATTGAAATTAAATGAAAGTATGGTGCGCAAACAGTAGCTCAGGTAGCCTGTCAAAAACACATGAGTTTGCCTAACAACAGTAGGTCATTTGCGCTGGAATTTGTACAAAGGTTGTGTGAGAAAAACACAGACTTGGCAGATTCGGACGGGGTTAGTACGTCTCTAACGACTTTAATATTTAATATATTACAACTGCCCATTTACATTTAATAATTTGGTGTTTGCATGTATAAGTATACAAGAAATAGAAAAATGTAAAAAAGTAGGGCTGATGAAGCATGCAGTATCACTAAAGGGATAGTGAAAATTGAAAAATGAAAATTCCGTCATCATTTACTCACCCTCAAGTTGTTCCAAACCTGTATGAGTTTCTGTCTTCTGCTGAACACAAAAGAAGATATTTTGAAGAAGATTGTTAACCAGACAGTTAATGGTAGCCATTGACTTCATAGGTAATTAAACAATACTATAGAAATCAATGGCTACCATCAATTGTCTGGTTGCCAACATTCTTCAAAATGTAATGATATGATAAATGTGCACAACATTCTTTCTGTTAAAAGAAACTCATGCAGGTTTGGAACAACTTGAGGGTGAGTAATGGTTGACTAAATTTTTGGGTGAACTAGTTCTTAAACTAGCCTGGTAAAACCAAACTCTGCTACTTCGCTTTGCTTCATAGACAGAATCTGGCATGGCAAATTGAAAAGTGTTTTCTTTCTCGCGGGGCGCTTATCTGAAGTATAAAATCATTGGTTACCCGTAAGCCAATCACATAACGTCTGGTTATGACGTGTGTTATTCGCCAGCTCAGCTGCATCGAACTTCCACTGTAAACACATGTATGATGCGAAAACGAAACCATCGAGCGAAATACCGGAGTGAACATGGCTGACCGAGTTTTGCTGCTTCCTTAACCTGATCCTCCATGAGTGCAACCAAGGGGGACACAATCACAACTATCGCCTTGCCGGCCTTTGGCATGCCCAGTTTCTCGCTGACGATCGGTAATAGTTGATAAATTAAACTTTTCCCAAAACCTGTCGGGAGTAGGGCCACAACATCACCTCCATTCAAAATGTTTAACAAACACTCTTCTTGTTCGGGCTTCAGTTTGCAAATGCCGGGAATATTCTCCACAACAGAGCGAATTGCATCCCGTGTCTCCATATCCGCGGCCGTTTTCGATTTCCCTAACCTAAAATACAATCTTAAACTCAGTGCTTAGCGTCTACGTCACGGCTCTCAGCCCGCCCTCTGTTCGTTGATTGGCCGGCTGTTTTCAGGCCGGAGGAAAACTGAGAGACATGTCGATGTCTCAGACTGAGTACAGAAGCGAACTGAAATTGAGCGGAAGTACGAAGTCTGACGTAGTCAGGCTACTCTTAACTGTCACCAACAGTAAAAAAAACAACAACACTTAAAACAGTGTGCATTTTTCACATGCCATAAATTCAGGAAACACTGATTAGTAAACCCCTACTTGTTGTTTACTTGTTTTGCTTTTACCTCAGGGCCTGAAGACAAAAAAAAAACTAGCTGAAATGAGTCACAGTTTATATAATGCAAGTCCAACAGCGCTGTTGGAAAGCAGATGTTACACACATGCAGTAGGTTTTACTTTATAATGGGAAAAAAAAAAAATGTATTTTTATTTTTACAATATGCAGTCAGGATAAACAATGTACCCTTTTTATGAAAAAGAAAAAGACAGACCAAACTATAGAGCTTGGATGGACATGTCACATTTTTGTTTTCCGTGACATGACATGTTGTGTAATTGGTAGGTGTGTGTTGTGTAATTATGGATTAGAGGATTGGATCAAATCGAAATTAACAGCACAAATTAACAATTTGCAATGCACACCCTCTTTTCTGAATGGAGATGCAACACCTATGCGAGATGTCTCAAAACAGCCTGAAGATCTTTGGCAGCTTTCCTGCTTCTTGTTTCATAATGATAGCAGAGATAACAACGGGTCAAATAATCTTGCAGAGAATATTTTTAACGAACCAACCAGCAATTTTTATTTAATTTTATGTAATATGTTTTAATTTTTTTATTATAATTTTTTTTTTTTTTGGGGGGAGAAATGTTGCTGCATCAATTGCACAAGTCTGGAGGATTTTTAAGTTGGCATTCACATTTCCTAAACAATATCTACAGAAATGCTCCTTTATCTTAATGTTGCAAACTCATAAACTTGATATGTTTGTCTTTATAGCCCAGGTTGAACATGCATTAATCTGCTGGTCTGTTTACTGTATTGTTTTTGACAGTGCAAAATCGTTACGCTTGGTTTGGTTTTCAGAGTGTGAAAGGCTGAGGAAAAACTAAAATTACTACGGGGGTTTGTGGCTAGAACTGTGGTGAGGAGGAGTGAGCAGTGAAGGTCAAAGCCAAGTGAATATTATATGACTCAAGCCCATCGCTTTTAACTTGGTTAGATATGGAGGATCTTTCACTGTAAACGGGCACGCCTGGCCTTTGTCTGACCCTATTGTGCCAGAAGAGAGGAATGCCCGTAGGCAGGGCGTCGAGCAGGCCTGGCGTGAGACAATTGTATAATCTGGTCTTGCTGGAATGAGAAGAGTCTCATAACAAAGAAACAGTCAAAACTAACTGGCACATCCAAGATTAAGGGTGATGGAGTGAGACAAAAATGTATACTAGACAAAATGCATTTGATGGTGCACATTTTGATTTCATTGACACACAATAAGGTTCAATTCGTTAACATTAGATACACACTACCGTTCAAAGGTTTGGTTCATTTAAAAAAAAGAAATAAATACTTTTATTTAGCAAGGACACATTAAATTGATCAAACGTGACTGTAAAGAAATGCATGTTATATAAGATTTCTGGTCACACTTTAGTTTAGGGTCCAGTTTTCACTATTAACTAACTATTAATTACGACTTTTGCCTCGATAAACTTAAAATAATTACTGCTTTTTAATAGTTAGCAAGGTAGTTGTTAAGTGTAGGTATTGGGTAGGATTTAAGGATGTAGAATATGGTCATGCAGAATAAAGCACTAATATGTGCTTTATAAGTATAAATATATCCTAGTAATATGCATGCTAATAAGCAAGTAGTTAATTGTGAGAATTGGACCCTAAACGAAAGTGTTACCATATTTCTATTACAAATACTGTAAATGCTGTTCTTTTAAACTTTCTTTTTTTAATCAGATCTTGAAAAATGTGAATCATTGTCCACAAAAATATTAAGCTGCACAGCTGTTGGAGAAACAAACATGTTTCATGAGCACCAAATCAGAATTTTAGACTGATTTCTGAAGGATCATGTGTCACTGAAGAAGACTGAAGTAATGCAATAGGAAGCATGAACTAAGAAGACTGGCGGCTTAAAATTAATTACATTTTAAAATATTTTATGGCATTTTGATACAAAACTGATAAATGAAGTGATTTGTGCACACACACTCACCTAAAGGATTATTAGGAACACCATACTAATTCTGTGTTTGACCCCCTTTCGCCTTCAGAACTGCCTTAATTCTACGTGGCATTGATTCAACAAGGTGCTGAAAGCATTCTTTAGAAATGTTGGCCCATATTGATAGGAAAGCATCTTGCAGTTGATGGAGATTTGTGGGATGCACATCCAGGGCACGAAGCTCCCGTTCCACCACATGCCAAAGATGCTCTATTGGGTTGAGATCTGGTGACTGTGGGGGCCATTTTAGTACAGTGAACTCATTGTCATGTTCAAGAAACCAATTTGAAATGATTCGAGCTTTGTGACATGGTGCATTATCCTGCTGGAAGTAGCCATCAGAGGATGGGTACATGGTGGCCATAAAGGGATGGACATGGTCAGAAACAATTCTCAGGTAGGCCGTGACATTTAAACCATGCCCAATTGGCACTAAGGGGCCTAAAGTGTGCCAAGAAAACATCCCCCACACCATTACACCACCACCACCAGCCTGCACAGGGGTAACAAGGCATGATGGATCCATGTTCTCATTCTGTTTACGCCAAATTCTGACTCTACCATCTGAATGTCTCAACAGAAATCGAGACTGATCAGACCCTTTTCCCTTTTCACACCATTCTTCGTAAACCCTAGAAATGGTTGTGCGTGAAAATCCCAGTAACTGAGCAGATTGTGAAATACTCAGACCGGCCCGTCTGGCACCAACAACCATGCCACGCTCAAAATTGCTTAAATCACCTTTCTTTCCCATTCTGACATTCAGTTTGGAGTTCAGGAGATTGTCTTGAGCAGGACCACACCCCTAAATGCATTGAAGCAACTGCCATGTGATTGGTTGATTAGATAATTGCATTAATGAGAGATTGAACAGGTGTTCCTAATAATCCTTTAGGTGAGTGTACAGTAACCACAGGACAGAAAAACTGTCATTTTGCTCTGTCTCCTGTTCATTTCTCTATGTCTGTGTTTGCCAGATGTGTTTCATTATATTCTGGACCCCTCATGTTTCTGAGCGCATCCTGGTCGATGTCATCGCGGTGGACACGGCCTTCGCTCAGCTCTGCATCATTCCACTGAGAGTCTTTTCCTTCTTCCCTCTACCTGGTACCATTAAGTCTCTTATTTTACATTTTAACTTTATATACAACCTTATATCATTTGCAGTGCCTTACATCTATGTGACCTTGTGACTGTGTGTACAGTTATGGTTCGAGCTCATCTAACAGGCTGGTTAATGACGTTGAAGAAAACTTTCGTCCTGGCACCTAGTTCAGTTCTGCGCATCATTGTGCTCATTTCCAGTCTTCTGGTGCTGCCGTACATGGGGTTGGTATACAGTAGGAATATGCTAAATTATCCTCATTTAAATATCATGGGAATGTGCTTCTGCTCAGTATGCAATCTGTGAAGTAATTAGCTGTCATGCTGCCTCTGGTTTATTTTTAGACCCACTAAAAATTCAATTCAAATCCCTGTCTGCATTTTGTGAATTAATTATGACTCTGCTCTAGAGCTTATGCAGACTGCTGCAGCAACATTTAAAATTAACTCAGAAAATTGTTCTTTAAAGACCACCTGTAGTGAAAATCAAGTTTTTAATGTTGCTTTTGTCTGTGTGGTGTTTTTAATGTGCTTTAAAGGGTTATTTCACCCGAAAATGAAAATTCTGTCACTAATTACTCACCCTCATGTTGTTCCAACCCCGTAAGACTTTCTTCGGAACACAAATTAAGATATTTTTGATTAAATCAGAAGCCTATGGAGGAGTGAAACAGCTCTCAATGTAATTGAAACCTGGCGGCCCAGAAAGTAAATAAAAACATTGTTAAAATAGTCCAAGGCTCACTATTGGCTAGAATCATACTCATGACCAGCGTCGGCCAATAGTGAACCTACGTTCTGACGTAGCGTTGCGCTGTTACACTACGTGAACTCACTCTGAGGCCCACATAAAAATAACGACTTTATTCAACTATTCGTTTTCTTCTGTGTTTTTTTGCACACAAAAAGTATTGTCGTCGCTTGATAAACTTATGGTTGAGCCACTGTAGTCACTTGGACTATTTTATGATGTTTTTATTTACTTTCTGGGCCGGCAGGTTTCAATTGCATAGAAACCTATGGAGTGAGACAGCTCTCAGATTTAATTAAAAATATCTTAATTTGTGTTCTGAAGATGAACGAAAGTCTTACGGGGTTGGAACAACATGAGGTTGAGTAATTACTGACAGAATTTTCATTTTTGGGTGAACCTTTAAGACAAACCATGTGCAAATTCATAAGTCAACACCATTTTCTCATTAAAACTGCAGTGAAAAAAGACAGTCTCAAAAATGTGGTTTGAAAATGCTGGACATAGACATAGCAGACATGTAATAATTATTTATTTGTTATTATTATTATTATTTATTATTATTATTATTTATATCTTTTATTATTATTATTATTTATCTATTTATTTATTATTATTTTTTATTTTTTAATTTATTTTTATTTTTTGGTAAGAGGGGAAAAAAAAGTGAAAATAAACAGTTTAAAAAAAAAAAGAAAAAAAAAAGAAAATGCTGGTGTTCCTTGCGTCACAAACTATCTTGTAACCAATTATGTCACGAGGGGGGCGGGGTTTAGCATATCATTAACTATGCTGCGAAGCAGGGGAGTCTCAAGAGAAACCAGGTTATTCCGGTATATTTTTCTGTTGATATGAAAAATCGGGTACATTTAGCAATATACCGGGTGAAATATATATATGATGTATATTACGATGAACGAAATGCCTTTTTCCACTGACGTTCTATTATGTTCAAAGCGTTTCTAAGGATACTGATTTTTAGAAGGCAGCTGTCTGACTCCGAGATGGCGAATGGGAACATGGTTTGTGTAGCAATATATATATTATTATTACTTTTTAAAATTATCGTTATGTATCCGACGTAGTAGAGAGCGATGCATAAAACTCATTACATTCTGATACATCGGCTTGTATACGATCACGAGGCTGTATGATTCACTCTTCCACTTCTTCTGAATCAGTTTCTGGTTGAAACATATATGGCTGAATTAAACCAGTATTTCCACTTGCCATTGTGCAGCGTTAAGGTGACCGAGTGGATCAGGTATTCTGAGCTGGTTTGAGTAAGTGAGTGAGTGGAGGCGGGGCTAATTTGCTCATTCATGGTTCCACATGTACTACATGAAGCAAGGGTGTAGAGTTACATTCAAGCTATTTTAAGACATTTAAAAAAAAGTTTTTTCCTTTGAACATTTTTTATTCATATGTCATTTTGGTGATCAAAGATTAGTTTTAAGGGATAAAATTATTGACTACAGGGGGACTTTATGGTTTGTTGATTAGAGCAACATTGTGCTGCAACTGTAAAGCATTAAATTGTAAATGTGTTCTGCGGGTACTGTATTGAAACCACATTTGTCATGCTAATGTTGTTTGTTGCAGGGTGCATGGTGCCACACTGGGAGTGGGGTCTTTATTAGCAGGATTTGTGGGAGAATCCACCATGGTTGCAGTGGCTGCCTGTTATGTATACCGAAAACAGGTGAGGAGCCATCAGACTGTGAAAGTCAACAGTTCTGCAGAAATATTAAAGCTGGTGTACTACCTTATTTTCAAAGCAGAAGTGATACAATACAGGTTGTTTCAAAGCAGTATCACAGTAATAAACAGGAAAATAACAGAATCACTTCTTCAAATATTCAGCTCAAATCAGTTCAGTGTTGATTAAGTTCAGTTCAATAACTGTGTAAAGTTAATCAATTTTAAAATGAATTCGATTTAGCTATGAAGCAGCTCTACAGAAGACAATACTGCCGTTATCCAGCTCAGTTGTGAGACTTACAAATTATTAGGCACTATAGATAAATAACTACAAGAATAACAAAGTGCAGTAATGGACTGGTTTTGTACAGCTAAAATAACTAGAAGCAACTGACACCGGAAGCCTTGCACATTCAGATTACAATTTGTCAACCTGCTCTTACGCTAAAAATAAGGTGGATATGTGAAGTTAGATACAATAACCGGTTAAAAGGGAACTGTATAATTTCTGTGCTACTAGAGTCACAAACATGCAGAAAATAATGATTATTTTCAAACAGGTTCCAGAACACTTCCTCTTCTGTCATTGGTCAGAAAAACAAGTTGCCCAGCCCTAATCTCACACCATTGGTTGAGCTGTTGCTGTGAAAAAAAAAGAAATGTTTTGAAAGTATCACAGTGTTTACTGGGGGATTCAATTTGATTAACATTTTTCTGTTATTTAAGTAGTTACTTCTGATGTAGTTGCATTAAATACTGTATAAAAGATAGAACAATTCTATATAAAACAATACTGGATTTAACAAAAAAAATGTGTGTTTTTAATGTAACCTTCTCCCTTTAAATACTTTGGTCAGTTCAAGAATTATTTATTTGAAAGAATTAAAAGAGCAGTTTCATGTCTATCCTTGTATTGCTCGACTGGGAGAAGTTGATAAGGGATTTAGAAAGTAATAAGTAATGCAATACTTTTTAGAGAGAATAATTCGTACAGTAATCTAATTACACGATAGAAGATGTAATTAGTACCCAGTAATGAATTACTTTTTTTAGAGTAACTTACTTAGCATTGTGTATAATGTTATAATATATTTGTATATATATATAATGTATATTTTAATTTAAAAAAAGCTTAATTTTGTCAGTTTTCATACACGACACCTGAAAGCAGTTGTTCATGGAGTCCGTTTAATGCAAATCAGGAGTATTATCGTCTCAATGGTCCTAGACTTTTAACATACTCGTGTTCAGTATCTATTCTGCAGTATTTATTATTGTCAATTTGTGTTGTCAGAAGAAAACCCCAGAAGCAGAAACGGTTGTGGAGGAGAATAACTCTTCCCCGATGACTGAAATCACTTCCAGGACACAGTTAGACGTCATTGAGGAGGCTGAGAATGTGCTGACGGAAAGAGAAGATGAGTGAATCAAAGCATGGAAAGAAAAAGCAAGGGAAGAATACTGTATACATGTTTTTTCTTTCATTTGGAGATGGTGAAGAGGTGGATCTCTGCAGCAGTGCAGTGTCTTTTGGATAAGTGTTAACTTGGAGTGGACTTTATTCTATAGAACTAATGTTTCTACAGGTCTACAATCTCTGCATTACCCCAGTGCAACGGTGAGATTGTACGGGGTAGAATGAGCAGATTTGCATGTCTACATCAAATGCACTCCCGCACTTTTTAAACTGAGGCATTTTTACAGACGTCTTCCAGAGTTTCTGTTCTGCAGCCTGTGAACGTTTTTTTTTGGGGGGGAAATAGAGAAAGAGTGCATCAAAAACAGGCTTGAAAGATGTTTTAATGACAGAACTGTTATCTGCTGAACTTTGACCCTGAGACATACCGTTTTCCTCTTGCATTGAGACGCACAATGAATAGTTACACTTTGTGTATTATAAATTGCTTAGAAGGAATATATTTTACTGACTTGTGGCACAGACTAGATTTGATAGTATATTTCAATTGATTTATTTTTGTATTCAATGCACAAATGTTGTATACTTTGCAAATGCCACTATGGAGTTATAATACAGTACTGAAGTACAGTAGACTATTTATGAGTTTTTATGAACGCATGAACATAATTTCTGATCAAGTCATCTGATCCAGTATTTTGTGCTGGGACCACATTATAGAATCCATTTTATTTCGTTTTCCAGATCTTAGAAATGAACTATACACTTTTCTTTCAATACCTCTTTTGTTAAAATATTAAATGGAATGTCATTTTTTGAGTTTTTAGGGCCTGCTTTACTTGCCTCTTGTTACTCAGTGCTTGTGGCCTAACTGAATGACAGATCATATGTCGGCACATACAAATAAACTACGTAAGCACCTTATGAATGCATTGTTTATTAAACAAATGTTGGGCTAAAGCTGTCCTTTTTTTGCATTTCTGTTTTGCATCTGTTTTGTGCATATTAAAGTGAGAGGCTGAAGTGAGTCATAGAGTATTTTATTCATATTTCCTCAAATGATCTTGCCTTCCAGTTCTTGAAAAAATTTGCTTTTTACAACCAATACTGTATAACTTTTTGTATATTTGGCAATTAAGTTATTCAGTGTTAATCTTCAGTGATAAATACAAAAATGCAGATGAACGGGGAAAAAGAAATAAAAGTGCAAGTAGTTTTTGCTTAACTCCACAACAAGCTAAATATTAAGTTATCTTGAACTCTTCTTGGCATCCGTTTCACCAGCTGCCTGTTAACGTGATTTATGCACGTTTTTGTTGCTTTCAGAGTCTGTTAAGAACATGTAAACATAACATGATGGCAACCAAAATAATTAATTTAGAGTCAAAGTGCTCTAATTTGAAAACTGGCAATATTTTGTGTAGAACCTCAATTAAACAGTTCAAAAAACAGTCATGGCAGTAAAAATCAAAACCAGTATGGGAAACTTCTACTGTCACAATGAGTCCATATATATACCTAGCAATGAAATGTTAAAAAGGACAGTCTCTAACAATATAAATTAAGAACTTACAGTAAGACCATTACCTCAGTTCCCTTACTATACCCACAATACATTCTTTTGAATTAAAATTCTCTAAAATTATTGTTGTAAACTCTTTAGTATTTTTTTTTTAAAACATTGACAATGTAAATCAACACCATTTCCAACAGTGCATAATACAAACAAATATCACGCTTAAAGTAAAAAGGCAGTAAGGTTTTTCTTTTCCTTTCTGAATCAATGTTAGTCATCACAGCATTTCCTGACAGACATGTTCATTCTGTGATTCATTTTGGGGGGGCGGGGGAACCTGAGCACTTCTGCTTGCAATTTGATCTCGGTAGATTGCTGTAAATTCCCTTCATCTTCTCATTCATCGGATGACCAACGGGTCATATCAGAAACAAAACATCATGTCACTTTGTAGATCAGATTTGTTCTGTGAAGTCTCTGTTGTTAGGTCATCGTGATGTCTTCTCCGTGCTGGTGTTGAACGATCCTCCTGACAGGGACGTTGTAATGGCGATCGTCCTCTGTGACGATACACACGCAGGGCCACTCCTGCTTGTGGTCATCTGGGTAATGTGACACAAACTCCTCTGTGTCTGTCATGTACAGACGGAAGGCTTGAATGGTGTGTTTTAAGGCATAGCCCAATAGAAACATCTCTACCTACAACACACAAAGCAAACACATTTAACTTTTTTTTGCCAGATTAAAGAGAGACAGAGCTGCAAGTAAGTTTGTCAGTGTCACCGTACTTGCCTGTTCTACCCCTCCACTGAAGCCGATCTGGCTCAGGTGATTGGCCAGGAGGGTTTTTGGGTTTTCTGATGTGTCGCGGGCAAAAAGAAGCCAGCAGAACACAGGCACTTCTTGATCTGCCACCATGTTGTGATGAAGCTCAATGGCTTTGGCCAGCATCAGAAACTTGAGTGCTTCTAGAAGACCATACTCCTCTTCTCCACCCTGAAACACACGCTCACACAGATTCTGCTTCTCCTCTGGGCTCTCACAGGCCGCTGCTGCTTGCCACTGAATAAACAACAAAGACAGACACGAATACATGAAAACACAGAAGTTATTACGATGTTTTTATCTGATTAACTACACAAGGCGCTTCAGAAACTGAATTTCTGAAGGCTGCGAGAATCAAGTACTCCATGATGAAAATTCAGCTTTGCCATATTGCATTTTAAAAATATATATATAAAAAAGAAAACAGTTGTTTAAAATTTTAAAATATTTCACAATATTACAGTCTATATTTTGGATTAAATAAATGCAGTCTTGGTGAGCAGAAGAGACTTCTTTGAAAAACATAAAAAAATATTTCAGATCTAAAACCTTTGAACAGTAGTATATATACAAACACTATAATATACAGTATATATCTTATATATATATATATACACGACAAGACAGAGTAGAATGCAGTTCTGTACTGGCACGCATTTGTGAATCTCCTGTCTGTGTCACACACACACGACTCGTGCGCACAGAAAGCCACTTCAGACAGCGATTGAACAGACAAAAACATAAAAAATTATGCCAAAATGCCTGTTTCGTCTAGTATCCTCACAAGCGCAGTCTTAAATGAGTTAAATGAAGTCTTAAATGAATGTTGAAGTTGTGAGTAAATGGGATGTGTGGCAGGTCTTAAAGTGACAGGAGCCTTATAAAGCTGCTACTGTCATTAAAGATAATCAAAGAACAAAATAAAAAGAGAAAATCACTGTGCTCTTTTCTATGCAGTGAAGACTGTTAAAGTGTTTAATAACTTAATTCAATTTCTGTATAGATCCTACCTGTTAGATCTACAGGTCTTAAAACACTGTTTACAAGGTTTACAAAAACAACAAAAACTAACCTTTTGTGCATTTTGACAGGGCAAGTAATAATCTGAACCGGTCAGACTGGGCCAATAGAAACAAAAATTGAGCCCTGATATATTGAAGGGCACATGTAAATGTGACATTTATTATAATGGGTTATATGAAGATTGTTTTAAGTTCACTTAAATTAAAAGTTGTTATATTTTTTAAAGCCTAATAAATGTTAAAATTGCCAGCTTACAATTATACTGTCAATGACTATAATTAACAGCTAAAATAAAGACATCATAAAGACATAAGTAGCAGTATTGGTATCGGTGATACTGGCCTTCTTTCATAAAAAGACAATATTTAAAATATAGGCTACTGTCTTCATGTTGTTTCAACATTAATTTGTCATTTAAAAATATAATACAAACTTTAATGTTCGGTGCAATTAATCAGTTATAGTTATATAGTTATATATATATATATAAGTATAAGGTATAATAAAGTATAATAAGACAGTATAAAGGTGTACCAAGCCTATGTACTCGACACACTGCTCTACACCAGCAAAACATGGACCCTATATTCCCACTAAGAACGCAGAATCAATGTCTTCCATCTACGCTACGCAATCTAAGTAGGATTTTGGGAATCTCCTGACTGGACCACGTTCCAAACAAAAATATTCTCGCACAGGCGGAGATGCCTAGTATGTTTGCCTTGCTCACCAGAGACATCTACGCTGGCTTGGTCACGTTAGATGTTCATGTATATGAGCCCAAATCATCACCCCTCCATCACCATGCTTGACAGTTGTTATGAGGTGTGCTTATATGCTATGTTTAGTTTTCACCAAATGTGGCGCTGTGTATTATGGCCAAACATCTCCACTTTGGTCTCGTCTGCCCAAAGGACATTGTTCCAGAAGTCTTGAGGTTTGTTCAGATGCAACTTTGCAAACCAAAGCCGTGCTGCCGTGCTCTTTTTAGAGAGAAGAGGCTTTCATCTGGCAACCCTTCCAAACAATCCATACTTGTCCAGTCTGCTTCTAACTGTACTTCCATTAACATGTTAACTGAGGCCTGTAGAGTCTGAGATGTAGCTCTGGGGTATTTTGCAGTTTCCCTAAGCAGTTCACGGTTTGACCTTGGGGTGAATCAATCAGATGGTCACAATTGCTAATGATCAGTTAATCAAAGGCTGTGTTTACACTTGGCATTAACATGCGACCTGTATCCGGATGTTGTCCACATACACATTGAAATGACAAGAGTAAACGCGTTTCTGATCGGAATGTTATCCGATCAGCGTGTCATGGTCCAGAGGTAGTCGAGGACGCATTGTGATCGGATCTCAGTGTAATGTAAACGCAATCCAGCCATCGTATCTACATTCAGAGGGCGACGTCATATAAATCCCTGCCCAGTCTCCCCGCATGGCTGTCAGAAAATAATGGTCAGACGCAGTTTAGACAAGAAATTAAACTTATTTGAACCTTACAATAAACATCAATCTTTAAAACAGTTTATTTAGACTTACATGATACGGTGTCATTTTTCATTTTAACTGTGCAACATTATCTGAACGAGGCAATCGCCTGTACAATCACGGTCAGTCATGAGATCTTAATGAAGAGCTGCACGCTGCTTTGCAGAGGAATAATCGGAATACACTTTTTATTTTTTAATGTTTTAAATGCTGAATGTTTTTATTGTTTCAGCATGTTTATTAATCTTCCATTTCTGTCAATATAGTCATTGCTGGCTATAACCTTAAACCCTGATGATCGATGATGTGACCTGTTTAACATGATCAACCCAGTTATCTTTGTATGATCAACTCTGGAAGTATTCCTTCATTCAAAAAACTGGATTTGATCTAAGACTGGAGATTGCATAGGAAAGTAAAGTGAGTGAGTGAAAGCAATTGGGACATTGTTTAATTTGTATCATCTTTACTCTTAATCTGGTGTCGTGCCACAGACCTAATTTAAATATTATGGAGGAAACAGAAATCCGATCGGTTATCCAGATACAGAGGCTACTTAATGTGAACAAATGTAAACGCTGATTGGCTAATGATCCGATCTGCTTGATTGGATCAGGGTGATCGCATGTTAATGCCAAGTGTAAACCCAGCCAAAGACATTTGATTAGCAGCGCCTGACTGCTACTTACCCTCTTAAATCCTATGGAAGCAGTGAAGGGTGCACTTAGTTTGTCACATATGGCTTCTCCATTTTGGCCTAGTTTTTGTTAAATAAACCATGAAACAGTGTAATATGTCATGTGTTGTTGTTCATCTGAGATTGTATTTACCTACTTTTAAGACTTGCCAGGGACCAGATGTTTTTGTTTTTTTAATTATGCCAAATACATAAAACCATAGAGCAGGTGTGCCCAACCCTGCTCCTGCCGATCGACTGTCCTGCACAGTTCATCTCCAACCCTAATCAAACACACCTGAAGCAACCAATTAAGGTCTTCAGGATCTGAAGCAACCAATTAAGGTCTTCAGGCTCACTTGAAAATTAAAGGCAGGTGTGTTTAATTAGGGTTGGAGATAAACTGTGCAGGACAGTCGATCGGCAGGAGCAGGGTTGGGCACCCCTGCCATAGAGATTCAAAAGGGTGTACTTTACTTTTCACATGTATACATGTAGGTTACATATACTATATAGAGATTCACCTTTTTCTTAAGGAGATCCAAATAGTATTTCAGTCTCTCCACAGAGTCCTCCTCCTCACTTGCCCACTTGCATTCTGGGGGAAACACCCATCCACCAATCAAATGCTCCCGAGCTTCAATCATCTCTGGCAACTGTGAGAATAACCAGCAGCTGTTAATATGAGCTAGAAAGCCACAGTGTTATCTTATAAACCCTAGAGGCCATATGTAATCTGAAACAAATGAAAATGTAAATCATGCTTTTAGTTAAAAGGAAAGTTGGCTGATTTTCAACCAATCATGTTGGTAGTAAATATAATGAACAATGTTTACTCTTTCTCCATGTTACATGCACCCACATGTCCCGGTTTATTTGTCAGCAAAAGTCTGACAGATGATGTGTTAGTTGATGATGTGGCTTTTGTTAGTTTTAAAATACAGATTGTACTTTTGCATTTTTGTATTCCTGCCAATAGACAGTCAGATCAAGCCCACACCCATAGTCATGTAGCAACGATTTAAAGAAGAAAGAAAATCATCTTCTACTGCATAGATGGCCAAGTTTTATAAAATGCCCATCTTGCTAGCAATGAATTACCCCTTTAACGAAAAATGTATTATGGCATCTACCCTGACTGAGGTCTAGAGGGGTCTCCTCACCAATAGAAAGCCTTCGTCCTGTATCCAGGTGGGCATGTTTGTGCTGGTCGCCAGCACCTGGAACAGCGTGGCACGGAGAGCACAGTAATTATCTCCTCTGACTCTCCTCAGACCGCTGAAGCTACGGGACATCTCACTGTAGCCCTGAAACAAACACACTGATGCAAGTCAGACTTCTACAACAAGCACAGACAGGTCAAACTAGAGTACAGTGGCCCCAAAAAGCATTTGGACACTTTAAGCCGATTTTTTTCTTATGTGTTTTTATTGATCTTAGGGCATAAACTCAAGATTTGAACTTTTTTACTTTTAACTTCAGCAAAATATCAAACCAAATTACATTTATTTAAAAAATAGTATACTTTAAGCACAACATACACACACAACACACTTTAAGCACAACTTAGTATACTTTAAGCACAACATACACACACAACACACACACATACACAAGAAACAATAAAATAAATTGAGTTGGGTCACCTTTCTGATGAGAGTGCTTTTGGTCGTGTTCCCCTTCCATTCTTGCTCACTGTAGGCCAGTATGTCCACAGCTGGTGCTAAGCTACATCTGGTCTCTACACCAGGAACTAGACAGGAAGAAAAACGCATAAATACCCAATAAGACGGATGCAAAAAACCTTTGGACCAGTATCTTTAAAAACAAAACGACAGGGTCCAATCACATTTTCAGTGATCTGATTGTCCCTAAAACATTTCCTTAACGGCGATGTTATTGGCTGGTGAATTGCATATAATCACTGGTATTGCTATAGTAGAGATATAACGTGACAAACAAATGAATCTTTAATACTTGTGAGCTCTAGTAGTGGTTTGGATGGCTTGTTATTGCTGGCTCCCATTTCAATGTCCTCTGCTCCCAGATACAGGTTTGCACTCCTACAACAAAAAGAGGAACTTTCATGCAAATGATATTCACAATGATAAGCAGTCATGAGGAGTCTAGTTGGAAGAGCTATATTAAAGTACAACATGTACAACTCGCATCCAAAAGATAATGATTCATCCTGAAGGGCAAATTTAACTGTCTGGATCTAAAGAAGCTTTGTCCTGATTTTTTAGTTCGTCTGCATCAGTTCTTCACAATTTTTTATATATATTCATATTTTAGTGAAAATATAAATAAAAAACATTATTGTAAACATACAGGAGTTCCGGTTCAAGGAGTTGCAAGACTATACTCACAATACTGCATTCTCTAGTCTTCATTCATTTGTCTAATTAACAATTGATACTGATGTCCAAATGCTTTCTGACCATCTGCTTTCCAAACTAAAGGTATTGCTGGAAAGACTGAATTCAAGAATGACACATACTCATCCAGTGGCTCTTGCACCTCCTCCACGCTCTCTTCTGTCTCTTTTACAGGTATCAGCTGTATCTCTACCGTGCTACATTTAAAAATGATATCTTCTTTTTGGGTGTCGGAAGTGTCTTCTTTTCCTTCATTTTCCTGGGCAACGCTAGCTTCCTCTTCCTGTTTTTCCTTGTCCTCTTCTGTTTGTTGAGGTCCAGTCTCTGTAACACCTTTTACAACTTCCTCCAGTAATTTTGCATCGCTCGCCACAGTAACCTCACCTTTGGCCTCAGTGTTTTCTACAGCAACAGAATCACTGTAAACGGGAAATGATTGAGTGGTTATTAGGCAATTCTGACAAAGATGACACAATTTGGTGTCTCAATACTTTTTAAAAACATTAGAGGCATGTTTTAATACGTATATTTTAAATTGCATTTTCTTTATTATACTTTTTGCTATTATTTTATGCTATTTTATTGCCATAAACTACATTAAGACCCAAAATATTGCAAATATCAGTTTAGATCAGTTCAAAAGTTTGGGGTCTATTTTATTTTTAATGTTTGTGAAAGGAGTCTCATATGTTTACCAAGGCTGCATTTATTTGATACAGTAAAACAGTAATACTCTGAAATATTATTGTTAGAATATAAAAAAGCTGTTTTCTTTTTAATATATTTTAAAACTTTATTTATTCCTGTGATGGCAAGAATGAATTTTCAGCAGCCATTACTCCAGTTTTCAGAGTCTGACAATTCTTCAGAAATTATTCGAATATGTGCTGATTATATATATATATATACCTAAGTGAGCAAAATCAGTGAGCAAAAAACAGGAACTATTCAAACTGTCTAAATGTGGCCATTTCATAGGCTTAAACTTAGTCAAAGGTCACTATAATCTACAATCACGAAAAACGTTCTCAAAATAAGAATGAAAGGAATGCTGCTCAGACAGCAACTGTCTTGAGGAATTGTAAAAACACCTGATAAACACTACTTAGACCTGATACATCATGTAGCCTATTAACACATTAAAACATTATATAAACATTATTGCACACAAGAACACAAAGCCATGCATATAACAGATGTATGGTGTTAAAACAAACAGTGACTCATTTAAGAAGACAAAAATTAGATTTCTGCAAGTAATGTTGACACAATATCGCTACACTGATCCTAGTGTTTGTACTAAATTGTCAGTTGTTTAGCTTGGTGTGACAAACTTTGTCAATTCATTGTTGCTATTATGATTGGTGTGATTACACCGCAAACTAATAACTACACTTCACAGAACATTTTTATGAACTCATGAGAGTTTTGCGCCACCTAATGGTAATAACTGAACAACAGGAAGTACTAACCTCATTGTGTCAGTGGCTCTGGTTTTCTCAATGGGGCTTGATGGCACTGAGGGACATGTGGAGTCCAGGCCATTCTCAGTGGGTTCTGTAGCCTCATGCTCTTGCTCTGCAACCTTTTCACTCTTTTCTAGATCTGTCATCACATCTGTGACTTCAGGTTTGTTCACCTCAATAGTGCTGTAATAGAATAGAGAGACTGGTTAGAATCCACACATACCAGGGGTTATTACAGTTAACTGAAACTAAAACCATAAAAAACTTTATATGAAATAAACATTAACTGAAATAAAATAAAATATAGAAAACTTAAACTTTTAGTGTTTATTTAAGCTAGTTGCCAAGGTAACATTTCTGTTTAACTTGATGTACAAAAATAACCGAAAAAATTTTTTAATTAAAAATAAATCTAAAAATAAAAACTAATTCAAAATATTAATAAAAACTATAATAGTATCTCAATGATACTAAAATAACTGGGGTAGACGATAAGACTAAAATCTTAAATCATGATAGAGTAATTCATTCTACTATATATATATATATATATATCACAAAATAGTAATTTTTAATGAAAATACGGTTAAGATCCCAAAATTTAAGACGACATAGGAATTTTTTTAAATTCTCGATAACAATTTCAATATCACAACAAAAACTAATACTAGTCTAACTAATATAAGAAAAAAATTCTCAGGCTTATTGAAAACAAGTAAACATTAAATAATAAAATAGGATTATTCAAACAAGAACCAAATTCAGTTCTCTTTCACATCTTACAACAGTTGAAAATTGATTGAATTAAAAAAAAAAACATTTAAAACGCTTGCAAAAGATCAACCTTCATGAGGCTGCAGTACTGCAATGTAATTTCGATTGTCAGATTTCTGCAGTTTATCATGTCGACCAGTATATCGCCAACCCCTAACATGGACAATTCAATTCCAGATGCGTAGGAACATTTCTTCCCAATTTAATTTAATTTAAATTTTAATGATTTCATTACCTGTCGGTTTGCGTAGATGGCTTAGATGGCAGTTGCTCTTGACTCTCAGTTTCCAAGGCTTCCTCGCTTGGTTTCTGGACTATGCCTTCTTCTTGAGGCAGCTTTTCCACAACAATGACATCAGCATTTATTTCATTCTCAGAGTCCTTCACGAGACCATTTTCAGTGCCAGGAGAGAGTGCATTGGTAATATCTACACCTGGAGAAGAAACTTCCTGTGAATGTTCCTGAGTTTGAGAAGCTTCAGATGTTTCATGCTTCTGTCCTTCCATCTCAGAATGGGTCTCCTCTGAACGTTTCTCCTCCACTTCAGCTGTTGGCTCAGTGACGGGTTCCTCAGCAGTCACTTCAGCTATGCTTCTCTCAATAACATCCGACTCATTAGACTGACCTAAAACACATGTGTCAGGTTCTGTCCTGCTGTTGTCCATCAGTGAATTATCCCCAGTGTCATTAAGACCAGCCTTTTCATATGTCACTTCAGAGGTGTCATTCAGAGGCAGTTCCTCGGTTTGGATCATTTCCTTCTCATCTGCAATCATCTCCACATGTGTTTCTGGCTCTGGCTCTGGCTCGGAGAAGTTCTTCTCAGCTTCTACCTCAGTAAGCGCAGTTACCTCCTGAACAGGTGTCTCCTCAGCAGGTGCGACTGTTGAGTCTGAACTTGTTGCGGTGGCACCTGCATCATCTGTCATCTGAGCAGCTGCGACGTCTACCTTTTCAATTGATCCATGCTGAGCCTCTATCTCCCCTTTCACTGAGGCAACGGTCTCGGCAGGTGCTTCAACTGTGTCTCGAGGTGCGTCCGAGACTTCAGCTGCAATGTTTTGGATTTCTTCAGTAAATTTAGTCTTTGTTTTTGGCGTTTCTTTACCTAAGATTATAGCTTCTGTTGGAGCAGTTTCAGGTGAAACATTGTCATTAAGTTCAGGAGCAGGAGAGACGGTGTGTAACATTGATATTGTTGTAGAGTAAGAGCTCTGTGCTTCAGGAATTTGAGCCTCTGTATTTGGCTGCTTGGTTACAATCAATTCATCCAGTTGTGGTTTTGTTTCTTCTTTATGCCTGTTGATGCATTTAAGTCAAATGTGGATGTTATGTACATGAAAAACAGGATTCACAAGTTTGATGTACCACTCAAACATGAACAACATGAAGCTCTCTCCAGACCATCTATGAAAAATAAGGTTAAAAAACAAAGCGAGCCGCATGTAAATTATTCAGAAATTGTCGCAATACTGACATCAATATTATGAGAACATAACCATTATACTGTATGCATTTGACATGTAAATGTCGTCTTTTCATTCGTTTTGGCTGGAAAATTTTCTGGGACCTGGAAACCTTGGCCACCACTATAGAGACGCACCAGCAGAGAAAACACTGTACCAGGCACAGACAGCTCACTGTTTGCAAGGCTCGAAATATTGGAAGAAAAACATAAATATCGTATCACTGACTGTTTTCAGAACACTTTCAATGGCATATTATTTTCCTCTTACTCCATATAATGCCTTGGGGTGCGTCTCAATCGGCCATAAAAAAATCATGATCAGTGCATCCCAAGCCGTTACTCAAGCCGTAAATGGGTCACAATAGGGAAGAAAAGATAATTGCTATTTCCGTTTCATGGCGATTTTGAGAAAGGGAGATTGTTACACCAAAAAATGTATAAATAAGAGAAATTCAACAAGTTAAAAGTACTTTACCTGTCCTCCTCATCTGATATTGGACTGCCGACATCTGTTCCTGCTCTAGTTGATGTCTTTGATTCAGAGCTGTTCAGCAAACCTTTAGTCTCATCCTCTGTATGGTCACATGGGTTTTTTTTTCCACAACAGTCCCAACTGTTCCCCATGTTGGCACAGGATACAGGGATAGTTTTCAATAAATCCACTTTTCTGGGTTTAAGTTCTGACTGAAGGATGTGCAGTTATCAAGTGCAAGCAGCTTCCACTTCCAGAGGGCTAGCCATATACAAATATTATTTCTCCAGACAAGATCTTACATGTCTCGTACCAATACATTTGAGCAGTGTCTGTAAATAAAGTATTTCTGTAAGACTAATCCAGCTACAGGAGCTGACCGTAAACTGCACTTCTAAGTATCTGGTCATCTGTTCAAACCTGCAGATTAAAAACAAACACAAAGTCCAACATGAGTGTTAAACATGCCATTTCTTCAAGTAAAAATACAGGTTTAGCATGAAAATCAGTTGTCAACATTCAGAAGATTTTGATTTTCACATATTTGCCATGGTAACCAAATTTTCTGCAAAAGAATGCCATAATACATTTATTGTTATTACTGTAAAACTGCTGTAACATGGTTAAGCAACCATCACAGTCATAAAAAATTAAACTAAGTCAAGACCATAAGACTCTGAAAGCATCTTACATTAATGCGATCTTATTTATAAATTGTAATATTGTAACTATGCAGTGATTTTTTTTTTAATGAAAGATCAAAAGGATAAACAATGCAGATTTATTTCCAAGGCCTTCTTTGATCATATTAACCAAGGGTGCCAATAATTCTGTAGCTCTTTAACGATTTTTTTTTTTTAAATCCCTATGAAAAAAAAAAAAAATTCTTTCCAGAACCAAAACTGCTGAAAAAGTGGACAGGCACTGTTGACACTCCACTTGTTTGCTTTGACTCTGGCTGTGTCCGAAATCCCTCCCTTTAGTGCACTATTTGAGGTGAGAAAAACCACATGAATTTCACATGTGCAAAAACACACCTGGACACATGTTAAACACATACTGTACTTTGCACACAGGAAATGCGGTTTTGGAAACAGTTCCCATGTGAAATCAATGTGATCACATGTGAAAACATGCTAAGTTAATGTGTTTTTTTCTAGCTATTTACAGTAATGTCCGAAACACTACTGAGTGCTCAATCCCATAATGCATTTAAATAATGAGTGTTCAACCACACTGAGCAGCTAGCCACTAGAAAATACCCATGTACTGTGAGCGTCGAATGAATTCCTGCGTTTCTCGCTCGTTACTTATTCAGTGGACTATTATTAGTGAGGTAATGTTAAAAAAAAATAGTACTTTGCACTTTGTGCTTTTAAACAAATCAACTGAGTGAATGATTCAAAGACAATGACAGAGAGATTGAGTCACTTAAAAAACAGTAAATTAGTCTAAAAAACAAATCTTTTGGCTGAATAGATTCAATTCGAGTCAGCAGAATGAATTAAAACCCCTAGTAAGGTACATTTTTGCTAGGTAGTTTCCATTCTTTGTTTAATATCTTTGACTGATAATACACTAAAATATCCCATGCATGAGAAAATTCAAACTTAGAGCTAAAATACACAATATCACAAAATATTTCATAATTAGTTACTTCTTGTACCAGAATGACACAAAATTTAAATGTACAGTAATTAGTTAGAAAACTATCAATCTTCTATCTATTTTCAGAAGACCAGCTAAAATACACAAGGTTAACTCTCAGTTTCGTATTATATGTTCAGTTTCACAATAATGTACCATTGAGTTTTAGTCTGTTTGTACAACATGGACATGGTGAGTGAGGGTGTTTTGCGGCGCATGGCACAAGCGTCAGCACTCTGAATGTTGACATTGTTTACCAGAGATAATATTGCAACACTCTGTCCTACATGTAAATTTAAAGTAACGTTACGTCAAACAAACAGAGGCTAAAATATTATTTAAGCAAGCCGAATGTATTTAACGGAGATTTCCAAGCTCAGTGTTATTTAATATGAGCCACCATAACAACTGTCAACATCATCGCGTGGCTGTTCGAGAGATGAATCGATACTTTAGATCGACAAAATCTTTATCCATGAATGTTAAAATACACACATGTCATAATTCCTACCTAATTGTGAAGATTTCTCCCTTTCCTTGCCAAGACAACCATTTTTGCGTCCAGGAAGACCCGACGTGTTTTATGACTGAAGTTTCACTTTCAGTCTATATATACTACCACAGGAAACCCTGTGAACTTAAGGTTTCTCGAGCTGATAATATCGTTTTTTTTTTAACAGAGTAACTTAGTTTTTAACCCCAACAGGAAAAAGTCAAGCCAGTGAGTTGCTTAATTTGTTTTATTCGCTCTTGTTCTTCATTTAAAACTCTTGAAGAGGGCAGAGCATGGTCTCAGATTAAAGGAATGTAGTGCAATCTGATTCCAAAGGTCTCCACATCCATTAGACGCACATATACAGTACACAACTATCTTGAACCTATTAACTCAGTCTGTCTAAACTAGGAAAGTTAAGATGGCAGCTGCGTTATCCACCCTTGTGAAAAGTACACTTTAACATACCTTTAAAATAGTGCTTTTATAGAACAGACTGTGCAACCCGAATGTAATGTTTTCAGACACTTAATTGCATTTTATTTGAAAATGAATGAAAATGCCGAGGTTAATATTTATATTTAAATGCAATTAGTTGAACCTAAACGGGTTTTTTTTTTGTTGACCCACCTAAGTAGGACTGAAACATCTTTATTCCCCAGTTTCACAGACAAGGTTTAAGCCTACTCAGACTAAAATTCATGTTTTAACTTTAAGAAACTTGCACTGGCATATCTTAAAATATGTCTGTGCCATTGTTTTGTCTCAAGATGAACACCAGTAATGTTTATAAAAGCTCCTTAAATGTCCTAATTGAACAAAGGCCTAATCCTGTGGGAAACCAGGCCTATATGTAATTTCATAATTACTTCTTTTGTCTTTTAAATATGGTTAAATTCTACTGAATATACTGACAAGCATTTTTGGTAAACAAAAAAGTAATGTAATTTCACATATTTATAATGATTAAGTAATTTAATACATTTAAAAATATTGACCTTAAATTTAATAACACACTAGTCAGAAATAATATCAAGTACATTACCTGTGCTTCAGGTCACATAACACATCAAAATAGTTGTACCTCTTTAAAGAAAAATACAAAAAGATTATTAAAACAATGCTTTAAAATGTACTTTAAAGTAAACCTTAATTTGACATTATTTCTTTTCAAAAGTGTACTTATGAAACAGTCATAAAAGTGCACTCTTTAAGTACATTTAATTCATTCCTTTTATTTCATTCAATATTTCATTTCATTCAAATTATCTGCAAGTTTAAAAAATATATACACTTTTGAAGTGCACATTCAATAAAATTAAGCACACTTCTTTTTCACAAAGGCAGTCCACTTTTTGATTGATTAAAATTCAAAAAGTTGCATCACGAAACATAACTGTTGGTTTATTCATAATTCTGCTGATATTTCCAGAGATGAAACACTACAAAAACAACACGCATTAGAAACTGTGCCTACTTAGTTACTATCCAACCCATGCTCCAAGCTTAAGTTACAGCTCCGTTATGATTACATAAATAGATAATATTTAACTAAATGGCACATATTAACTCCAGATAAATAAATTACATAACCACTTGATTAGATAAATAACTTTTATTTGGTGGTAAATGTGCAACTCATTAAATTAGGTTGCAGCTCACTAAGTACAGTGTTAATCACACAAATCAATATACAGTAACGGTAATGTATATCATTATAAAATGTGTTAGCCATATTATATGTGAAAATTGTCATATATATAGAACCGTGGGTAATAAAAGTAGTGTTTTTGTGCTACTAATCCAGCAAAAATGCAGTTTAATAGAATCACAGCACTTAAATAAAAACTCCCTCAAGTACACTATTAATTTGAGTCAACTAATGTACAAGCTATTTTCTTTCCAGAATTGCGCTTGTTTCCTGCCCACACAGGATGTTATTCAGACGGTCTGCTGCAGTGTTCGCCACAAACACCCAGGATCCACTTCAAGTGTCTACGAGCTGCTGAATGTGAAGTTTTAGTTCTTCAGGAAGCCCCAGTTCTATTACCAGGTCCAAGCAGCACTTCAGCAGCTGTCTTGTAGAGAAAGAACCATGGGAAAGAATTCTTGGTGAATCTTCACTCACGGTATTGCCACAGCAGGCATTGTTTGTTCCATCTCTCCCACAACAGTCTGCATTGTTTGAGCATCTAGATTCTTCATCCTGGTCCCTTTGCTCAACATTTAGGTCCTCCATGTCATCCACCACTTCGGTCACACTAGGCAGAGGCTTCTGCTGGGCTTTTCTCATGGCCTCCACCAGCCCGTCCTCATGCGTCTCCAATCTCTGGAGCAGATCGGTGACGGACGCTAAAGCTGGGCTTCCAGGGAGATGAACCTGACACCAGCACCGCACCGCACTGTGAAAGAAGACATGGTCAAAAACCACAGACCACCGATTTAGGATTTTGATTCAGGTATAGAGGCCTAAAAAGAGATGATTTTATATATATAGTTAATTTACTGCATGGTCTCTTTAATATGAGTGAATGTTTCATGACACTTCTTCTCAAGCTCACACGGGTGTCCTAGCAGAGTAAACAAGGTGTAAACTTATGTTATTTTAGTATAATTTATTTAAGCTGCATGATTAATCGGTAAAAGAATGATTTCAAGCACCCACACTATCTGAATGACATTAATTCCTGTCTATTAAACCTTTGGCAAGTCATAATGGTCTGAGCTGTCGACACGACAGATCTCGTCACAGTTGTGACCTTTGGCAAGTACGATCACAGCGAACGTTCAAATCTACGCTTGCGCTGCCGCTGATCCAGAGAGAGCAGTTGTCATGTATAGGTATGAAACAGCTTCTCAAACAGCTTCACCAACATCGTATTATCATTATTTCTGTTACAATAATTCAAGAAATTATCCGATATATTCCGGATATAAACATTGATGTCTATGATAGCGATCAAAATAAAGTAAAAAAAATGTTTTCATCTTTTGAAAGTAACTTGATGCTTCAAATAAAGACAATTACATTGTTACACAAGTAGGTGGCAACAAGTGACTGTTAAAAAGTGTTTTTGTAATTGAATCATTCAAGAAATTCATTCAAAAACGCTGATTCATCCAGTAAGGAAACAAGTATTTATGAGTGAGTCATTGAATCATTCAGTTGAACCAATTATTTTTAAAATAATTAATTAAATATTATTTAAATTAACTAGAACAATTAACATTTTGTCAGAACCTCTAGTAAATTATGTTTTTTAGTTGTTTATTCAGAATTGTGGAAAAATCGTCATCTCCATTTTAAACAGATAATTGTGATTCTCAATTTACCCAGAATCGTGCATCAGCTTATTACAGTATTTAGCATTTTATATATATTTTTTAAGTTCTTTTGACTTTTTTAAATGTTTCAGTCATATTGGTTTGCTTTTACCGGTTTATATATTATATTTCAATATAATATTTTTGTATTTCAACTAACTGAAATACAAAAATATTATATTGAAATATAATATATAAACAGGTAAAAGCAAACCAATTTCTACTATGTTAGTTTTGTGATATTTCTATTTTATTTCAAATAGTTTTAGTTAATAACAACAACACTACTTGAGTTGACAACCAACAAGAACCCAAATGATTGTCATCTTTGAGCTATTTTTGTTAATACAAATTCACTTAATTTGATGTTTTGCTGTCTAATGCAATGACATCCATACTTTTAATTGACATCCTGAGAACTTTAGTTTATAGTTACAAAGTATAACCTAAAACAAACCTAGAACGTTAGGAATTGGTTCCCAAAACACTGCCAACCAGGGACAACTCACTAACATTAGTGGAACCTTCTGTTTGCCAGTACTGTAGTTTAATAGTATGATCACACCATTTTAAATATGGAGCAGTCACTCAGCTCTGTACATTAAAGCATCATTTTTTTTTAAGAACCATAAGTGGTCTTAACTTACCCACAAAATACCTCTAAAATACTGACAACTATAAGAATAATTTATTTTCATTGGAGGGAGTATTTTGCATGCGTTTCTACTAAAAATGCCCTAAAATTATGACAAATAAGATAAATGCACCTGCTTACCTCATGATTCCTTTGAGCTGACCGATGACAGTCATTTTAGTGGCTCCTTCTCTGTATCCCATGTTGAAACCAGCCTGTAGTGATGCTTCTTTCCCTGCATCAACACCATCTCTGAAACCATCCTGACAGAAAACCACACGGCAGTCGTTTCTAGACTGCGCTGCTTTCACTAGCTAGCTACACATCGTGAATGTTGCTTTTGTGTGTCACCTCACCGGTGTTTTTAAAAACTCTTACATTGCATGGACGAGAACACTCATTTAGGTTGGGGACAAAAAAGAAACCCGAATAAAAAACCGATACAATATTTCAGAACAAGCATGTTGTGAAAAGGTTCATCGTTGATAAATGACTGTTGACGTACCTTTGCGCGTTTTTCCATGTTGTATTTCCATTCTTTGTTCTGCAGACTGATATCATCCACATCCTCGTCGAACACATCCTCACTAGACGCCACTGATCTCAGCCACGACATGCTTGCAATCTACGAATCGCCAAAAGTTAATCTCACTGAGTGTGAACTCAACGTTAAAGGTGTCCAATCGGTAAAAGATGCTCGTTTCGGCCTCTCTGACAGGATTCATAAACCATTTTTACATCCACGTGGTCATGTGACTGACGTCATCAGAATGCATATGAAGCTGTTTTCTTCTTCTGGTCGCTTCTGGGAGTGTTCACACATCATATCGCCGCCTGCTGGTCGGCCTGTGCAGCACATCATTTTATTTAAGTGTGTGTGTGTGTGTGTGTGTGTGTGTGTGTGTGTGTGTGTGTGTGTGTGTGTGTGTGTGTGTGTGTGTGTGTGTGTGTGTGTGTGTGTGTGTGTGTGTGTGTGTGTGTGTTATATATATATATATATATATTTATTCTTTTTTTTTCTTTTTTTTTTTTACAGTCTATGATATATTATATATATAATTCCGTAAAAGATGCTCGTTTCGGCCTCTCTGACAGGATTCATAAACCATTTTTACATCCACGTGGTCATGTGACTTTACCTATGATATATTATATATATAATTGGGTAAAATAAAAATAAAAATCTGCCAAGCTCATTTATTGGTCAGGTTTCACCTCAACATCAGATATATGAAATAAGTTATTAAAATTTAAAAAAAAAAAAAAAAAATTTTTATATGTAAACGTATATATGAGGAAGGCATTTCTCTGACAAAAACTACAGGTATTATTCTACTAGGCAAGTTATCCGTTATTAATATTTCATTGGATCTCTCTTGTTTTTGCATGTGTTCATAATTTCATAATTCATAATTTGTATGACAGACTGGCTAAAAATGATGTGCACAAAGTTCAGCATGTTTAATTATGTTATCACAAATCAATTGACTTCAAGAAGAACTAAGCAATGTACTTACAAATCTTTAACACATTTTGTCACTACTGTATATCAATAACAATGCCGTAGTTAAAAAGTGTGCATATTGCCATTTTAATACCTGCAAAATTTTTGGATTTTGTTTTATTATATTATGAATAGTACCAATGAAAAGGAGCCTGTGATGTATTTATTTTAATTTAATTAATTAATTTAATTGTGTTATTATAATTATTATAATTATTTATTATTATTTATTATTACCACTACTATATTACTATTTTACTTACAGTAGTTAGAACAATCTATTTGTTCTTCCAAATTCAAATGTGCTGTTTTTACTGGCATGACAAAAAAAAATTCATTTTGTCTAGCCCGATCGCGAGTTGCTAGAGGTTGGAAAAGAAAAAAAAGAAGTGAAGTATTAATTATTAAATGAAACATTAATATGAATAATATTACCAAAATGAAATATTAACAGTGCACACAAAAAGTTAAAAAAAAGTCAAATAAATTCAAAGTAAATAAAAAAGTGTTATGTTGAGCCCAGTAAAAAGTATGTGTCCTGTATGACCACTAGATGGCGCTAGATTCATATTAAACTGTGTCTGCTCTGCTTCGACAGACTGCTTTGAGTTGATCACCGGACAGTCAGTTTTGCAATGAATGAATCGAAAGTGAAAACATATTTAATGTCATTGCTCTACGACACAAATAATTTTTTAACTCTTCATTTGAAATGAAAGGAGCTGACAGTGATTGTTTTACCTGTATAACCGAAGCTACTCTGACTGGGACAATTAAACTGAAGGAGGGAACTGAAAGCCTTATAAGACTACATTGAATTAAAGTGTCAATACACTTAAGAAACAAGACTTTATCTCTCAAAAAGTGCCATGTTTAATGACGAGTCTAATGAATTTGGCTAGTCTAGCTCTTTGAAGTATTATGTTACATATGCTAAATAGAGCAGTAGCCTACTGTAATGTGAAGAGGATTAATCTACCTCAACAGAACTGTGACCTTTACAATTATGCTAATTAAAACACCTCATTTATCTTTATGGTTATTTCAGGACAGGGCTAATTTTCAGGTATGCAACTTTTAAAATAAGCTCTACATGAGACATCTGTCATCCTCAAAGGTGCCTTGTGTAACTGTGAATAGTGCTGGGTCCTGGTTATAAATTATGTCTCATAATGGGCCCGATTCTTACAAGCTCGTGTGATGGTTCAGACAGTGAAGTGGCGCAGCAGGTGTGAGAGTTTTATGACAAGAGAATCATCCTCTATTGCCCAGTGGGTAGAAATGTTTCCATTTAGGGTTCTTTTCCTCACCGTTAGCACTTTGTTCAGTGCTGATATCAGAGTGGAAAATCCAAATTCATCACAGGTGCTGGGAACCCTCAGGAATCCATGAAGAAATTTAATTGAAAAAAACACCATACAGTGATGTTACTGCTTAGACTCAATGGAAAAGTTAAACAGCTAAGCAAGTTTCAGCTTACTAATATAGACTTTCAGAACTGAAAGTGCACTCATCGCTGTAAGCACAGCGCAATAATTATAAAAGGCATATTTTACGTAGGTTGATTTGAATGCAGTCAACTAGGCCTATTTAGTTACAGTAATTATGATTTATAAGATTTATACATTTATAAATAATTTCTACATTAGAAAATTTGGATTTTAAAAATTATATTTTTATATACTTACTTAGCCTGGGAAAACCCAGATAACTTCCGGCAAATTTAGATTTGCTCTGAAAGTTAGTCTGGCAAAGAGCTCATTCAAGCCCATTTCCAATCCGCCGAAATCGCGGCACCAATCAGAAACGTTGGGGTGGGCTTTACACGATGACGACAGCGCTGGGATTTTGAAGCAGATTTTGTAGCCTACATTACAAAGATGGATGCCGCCGTCGAACATCACTCGTTCGAATCAGCTATCGCGTCTGTTTTAAGCGATTTGAACGTTTTCTTTTAGTTAAAAACCGAGCAAAGAACAACACTCGGAGATGTTTCTGCCGCTCTGCATACGTCATCTCCTTCATCGCTCTGGGGTGCGTTTCCCGAAAGCATCGTTAGCCAACTATGGTCGCAAGTTCCGTCGTTACCAATAGAGTTCAATGGGATTTGCGACCAACTTGCGACCATAGTTGGCTAACGATGCTTTCGGGAAACGCACCCCTGATTGGGTTTAGGTCTATCTGCGACGTCCGTTGGTGACGCCCCTCTGGAAATGATTTGTCTATGACGCTTTGCCAGACCATAACTCAGTTACAACTGAGAATGGTCTGGTTTTAACCAGGCTAATACTCACTGCCTTTCAGAGCTGAAAGCTAATTCACTCATATAAGCTACCTGTAATTATATAGTGCAATGATGAAATTAGCATATTTTATTTAGGTAATTTTGAATGCTTTGTACTATTTAGGTAGGCCTACGGTAATTATTTAAAGTTACACAATGTAACTTTTGGCCCTCTAGCGGTTAAAAACAAAACTGCATGCATTTTGCGGAAGAACATTACTTTGGCTGCGATTCGGCTCTGCGTGACTGTGCGGATGAATATGGCTCTTTCTCATAACTAAAAAGAGAGAGAAATTTCTTGCAGTTCATATTCACTGGTAGGCCTACTACTAGGCTTACGACCAGTTTATGGAAAGGATCTCAAGCTGAAGATGTTACTGTATACCCATTAATAAACATGGTAGGCTACTTCCTTGAAAATAAATCCCACCACAGTGCTACAGCAACCACAATGAAATGACCCTTCACAATTAAATTATTAACAACGAACTCTGTTAGAAAGCTACATGCCAATTTATCTGTTGAGTAATAAAAACGCAATGTCCGCGTTATTGCTTTTACAACATTTAAAATCCTTAATATGCAAGGGTGAGTGATGCATACGCAATTTCCCGCGAAAACCATCCCGGTCTAAAATATAAACACTTATAATAGGCTGCTTACCATAGTTAATCAGGGTAAGACAAAAACATGTTTTGGAAGAAGTAGACTATGATGATGTATTGATTATTGAGTATTTAAATTTGGTTAATTTTGAACAAACAGTATAAGTAGCCTACCTTCAAAATATGGAACATATTTAAAACACTTATAAATGAAGAAATAATTTCTAAATAAAACTTAAATATATAGGCTATATTTATTTTTTAGCTAGTAGAATTGCAGAACTGAAAGTGTACTCACTTATAGCCTACCTGTATTTGAGGTGAAATAATTAGGAAATTAGTATAGAAACTAATATACCATTAGAAGGTATTCAACTATTTAGCTGCAGTACTTAATAAGCATTAATATGTTTTTTAACATGTATAAAAATAAAATTTAAAAATAAAAAATAAACTGAATTTATATTGATTACTTTTTAGAATTTTACCACCAGTTCTAACACTTTACAATGCTTTTAAACCACATTATAGTGCGCAGGGTCTTGTCTTGTTTTTTTTACGCTGCAAGTGATGACAAACACATTACTCTCATCAATATTGCATTTTCCCTTTCTTTCCTCCGCACCACAGAGACAAAGAAAAGAGGTCCCTGCTTTATTTTAAGATGGGCTATTCTTCATCTTGCGCTTTAAGGGAACACACAGGAGAGATGCAGCCAGTGGACAAAATGCATTTCACCTTGCACAGAGTGCATTTGCAGGAGCCGGACAACAATGGCCCAGAGAATACTCCGGAGGGCCGCGTCGAAGGCCTGAAAATGGATTCCGAGGGGCCTGCGGATCCGAGGCTTTCTGCCGCCACACCTTCCTCCAGCGCCGCACTTTTCCCCCTCGCACGCTCTCCCTTCCTCTCTCGCTCTACAGGAGAGCAAAACAAGCAGCCGGGGCAATCACCTGACACATTTCCATCCAATTTCCACTGCCGAATGTGTTCATTTTCGGCCCTAATGGCATGTCATTTCAGCGGAGCCTTTGGTCAAGAATTAATCCTGGAATCAAAACAGATTTTCCGGGGAGCAATCTTCCATCAAGTATTGATTTTTTTACACTCACAGAGCCTGTACTCCCTAATTTAACCTGACAGCACACTGCACAATGGACTAGAGAGCACCTTGGCGACTCGCAGAGGGAACTCTCTTGCGTTTTCTCTTTCTCTCTTGCTCCCACTTTTCACCCTCTCACTCCCTC